GGGGGGGGGGGGGGAGGACAAGCGGAACAACAGCACCGTGGCACACACGCAGAGATATATTTAGTGAGCACTTTGGCAGGCAGCACTGTGAGGGCATCGGCCATCAGACAGGGCTTGGCACGCCCAAAGGGGGTTGCTGCCGCTAGCAATGCTGACGAGGCAATCCACAAATGTCTACACCCGCTTTCCCACTTCTCCTTTCTTCACTGAATCGCAGCAGAGAAACTCGTACACAGGCCGTTAAGAAGAATCGCCGAAGACGGTCCGCTTCACACACCACACGGGCACCACGAGTCAACATCTTTTTTTTGCTTCGGTGTGGCACTGCGCATCCTCATCCAACAGCTGGGATTTTGCGCTCAGGGGTGAGGCCTTCGCCTTGGCCTGCTCGGGCAGCCCCGCACCGATTACGTGAGCCACCACCGTCGGCCATCCACGAGCGGTGCGGCGCAGTGGGAAACGCCTCGACGAGGCTCTCGATACGGTGGTGGCTTCTGAAACAGCACATGATGCGTGTGTGTGTGTGTGTGTGTGTGTCACCATGCGCCTAAACGCCGCGGCGCCAATCACCCCCACCTACGCGCTACATCTGCTGCGCGTAAGCGGGACAGCACGCACCGCCGCACGCCGGCGGTCTCTCACAGGCGGTGCCGCGGATGAACCCAATGGCGACGTTCATCAGACCGCCCTGGTCTGTGCCCACGAGGAGGCTACGCAGGCGGAGGTTGCCCACACTGAGTAAGGTACGCTAAGATGGAGGATGCACCATTAGCCGTCTCAAATGTTTCTTGGTTGTTTTAGTAGCATGCCTTGTTAAAGAAAGCAGCTGCTTGGTGTTGAGTTGCCACGCGCAGTCTCCAAGAACAAAGACAGAAGAGAGAGAACAGCATGAGGAGTTATTTGATGTGCATTGTAAACAATTGGTGGCATTCTTTGCTCCTGTGGTTGTTAGTGTTTCTTCAGGTCCAAAAGCAGTGAGTGTGTACGATTCCCCGACGTGTCCATCCACCACAAGGGAGTATCACCAGGCCCGAACCAATTAAGATTCTTTTGTCTTCGCTCGGAGAGAGAGAGAGAGAGAGCGCAGCACAACACCGCGCCACACCGCACAAAATACCTGTGCCTGAATGTGTGTCGCTCTCTCATGTTCTCTCTCCCCCCCCCCAATTCTTTCTTTGCGTTCATGTATGTTGGTGTGTGGGTGTGTTTCGTAGGTCCGCAGGCGCCGCATTCTCAGCCACACAACAGCGTTCCCCCTTCCCGTCCCTCACTCACTCACTCACTTCACATCATCCCCTCTTCCTGCCAGCCAGGCCCTTGCAGGAGCACACACACGCAGTCATACATATATATATATATATATATATATGCATGTACATACGGCCGCGTGTGTGTCTGTAGGAACGACAGGACGGGCAGTGGGTCACAACAACACGCAACGCAAACAAACAAATAAAAGGAGATACAAATGAAATAGAGAGCCGGACGTTGTCGTGAGGGTGGCGTGTATCCTTCAGCTTCTTTCCTTTTGTTTGTGCGTATGTGCGTGGAGGGGGTTTCGACTCCTTTTTTTTTGTGTTGTTACTGTTGGTTTTTTTTTGTTTCCGTTTATGTCTCTCGCTCCCTCTTCTTTTGTGTGTGCATTTTTTTTTAAATCTCATGCCGTCCACTCTTTGCGAATTCGCCTGATACCGCTGTTTCTTTCGTGTTAAATTGATTGGTTCTGTTATTCTCGTTTCCCACCTTCCTTTTTTTTTTTGGTTTTTGTCTTCATTACGCACCCGCACAGCCTCGCACTGTGTGTATGCGAGGAGTGAGTAGGTGAGTGCGGGGGATGAACGGGGCGCCCGACGCACGAAGGCACATGAAGCGAGCCCGCTTCCTTTTCCGCCCCCCTCCCCGCCGCCGCAGCGACGGAGCGGTCACATCGCACCGAACACGCCACACCCCCTTCAACCACCCGATCAATCCCGGCATCGACATCCTTTCACACAGTGAGCCCGGGCTATTGTTCTCTTTTTTTTTTGTTGCTGCTTCTCCTTCTCCAATATATTATTCTTCTTTGGTTGTTGTTACTTGTTTTAGACTCTCTTTTGCTTCTGCAGCATATTCCTTCTTTTTTTTTCCTTCATCCCGCTTCTTCTCGTCGTTGGACTTGTCGTTTGTGCGTTTCCCACGTGTCTGTTATTACGCAGGCGTCGCGAGCTCGCAGGCGAGCTTCGCGGCCTCCTCGAAGTCGCGCGCGGGGTGGAGCGGGAGGCCGCTCTCCTTCAGGATGCGCTTGCCCTCCTCCTCTTTGCTGCCGCTCAGCCGCACCACGACCGGCACGTTGCGGCCCTCCAGCTGCTTCGACGCCGCGACGATGCCCTCCGCAATGACGTCGCAGCGCATGATACCGCCGAAGATGTTGACGAGGATGCTGCGCACGCGCTCGTCGCCAGTGATGATCTGGAAGGCGGCGATGATCTGCTCCTTCGTAGCGCTGCCGCCGACGTCGAGGAAGTTCGCCGGCTTGCTGCCGCCGAGCGAGATGAGGTCCATCGTTGCCATCGCGAGACCAGCGCCGTTCACAAGGCAGCCGACGTTGCCGTCAAGGGCGATGTAGTTGAGGTCGTGCTTCTTCGCGAGCACCTCCTTGTGGTCGATCTGCGTGCTGTCGGCGAGGGCGAAGATGTCCTTCTGGCGGAACTCCGCGTTGTCGTCAAAGGAGAGCTTCGCGTCGATGCACATCACGTCGCCGTTCTCCAGCTCCACCAGCGGGTTGATCTCCACCTGTGTGCAGTCCTTGGACTTGCCGATGTTGTAGAGTGCCTTCACCTGCTCCGCGGCGTTCTCGGCAGCGCGGCCAGTGAAGCCGAGCTCGTGTGCGAAGGCGATGCAGTTCTCGTGGTTGATGCCCTCCTGCACGTTGATGCGCATGCGCTTGATCTTCTCCGGGGACGTCTTGGCGAGCTCCTCGATGCCCATGCCTCCCTCGGCGCTGCCAATGAACATCGGCGAGGCCGTCTTGCGGTCGAGCAGCAGCGCGAGGTAGAGCTCACGCTTGATGCCCGTCACCGCCTCCGTGACGTACAGCATGCCGACCGTCTGGCCATTGGGGCCCGTCTGCTTCGTCACGAGGGTGTTGTTCAGCATCTTCTTCGCGCACGCCAGCGCCTCGTTGGCGTCCTTGCACACATGCACGCCGCCCTTGAAGCCATCCTTGAAGGTGCCCATACCGCGGCCGCCGGCGAGAATCTGTGACTTGACGACCTTACGATCCGTCTTGATCTTGCCGAGCGCGGCCTCGACCTCATCGATGGTACGGCACGCGATGCCGAACTCCGTCTTGCAGCCACCCTCCTTCAGGATTGCCTTGGACTGGAACTCGTGGATGTTGAAGAAGCGGCGCTGCATGTTGGCGCCCTTCGGGATGCATGTGCGGCCAAAACGGGTGAGCATGATGATAGTTCTTGGATTTGGGTTATAGTTTGGTTGCTTAAAGTAGTGTGTATCGCTTGATTGTTCACCCTACCGTGATATTCTTGTTTTTTTGTGCTTTGTTGAGCTCTGCGCCGCAAACCAAACACGATTATATATATATATATATATATAAAGAATAAAAATAAAAAGTATAACAATAATAATGATAATTATAAAAGGAAAGTCAGTGAAGAATTGGTTAAGGGCCTGGCAACTGAGACCCACTTCCGTTGGCAACACAGAGTTTGTTGAACGCACACACAGACACGCAGGCATACACCTAAGATTGCAGCACGCCATCCACTGCTGCCCACACAAATACGCATATACGTCTACGCGTGCTTAGTCAGAAAAATAAGTTCCATAGCCATCACAGCAACAACCTTCGCCAGCCAACACTAGTCATCCACGACTAGCGTCGACCCGAATACCTTCACGTGCAGCCTCTGCAGCTCCTCAGAGAACTGCCGCACAGCGTTCCGCACCTCCACTGGTGTCGGGACCTCGCCGCTGCAGGGAGGGGAAAGTGCCGAGCCAAATATCACGCGGCCATCGCTCGTCGAGATGGCGGGGATGATCAAAGCATTGGCGCGCAGAAAGGCGCCGAACATCCCTTTGTTCTGCAGCCGCACAGTACTGCGACCAGCGTCGCAGTCTCGTAGTGAGCCGTGGAGAATGACAGCAACGCCGAGGTTCCTGCGGGTCATCATGTCTATCAGCACACCTCGGCGGTACTCCAGTACACCACCCATCTTCCACAGCGCCAGGCGTGTCAGAGGCAAGCGAAACGACGATGTGAGGGGGTGCACGAGACAAAAACACGCCCAGGCACCGAAGCGCCTAAAGTCAGACTGCGCGTACAGCAGGGCGTGGTCGAACCAGCTGGTATGGCACTCCGTGAAGGAGACTATTACCACTGGCTGTGTGCCGGCGATGAGTCCTGTTTCGGCGAGTCGCACGGCCTGTGAGCGGCCTTGCGCCAGGCGCCGCCAGAGTTTGGAGTTCGTCTGTGCGCGCGGGTTCACACCGTAGTAGCAAAGCCCGAGTGTAAAGCACACAACTAGTATTGTCTCAAGGCTGGAAAAGTACAGGCACAGACACACAGCCAGCACCAACGCCACGGACAGCAATGGGTTCAGGGCGCATTTCCACAAACAGTACATGGGAGTCCTGCTGCCTGCTGCCGCAGCACGAGAGAGACGGGCAAACACAAAGCGGAGAGAAAGAGAGCGAAACAGTGTGAAAGGTGGTCGTGTGACGAGGGATCATGAGGGTGAGAAACATCATATATACATATACATATATATATATGTGTGTAAAAAAAAGAGCACAAGAGACACAAAGATTCATCAGGCTTGCACCTCTCTCTCTCTCTCTACTCAAGTATTCAGTTTGTGCCATGTGAACTCATTTCGTCAAACGAGAGAACATCTTCCTCGTTGAGTACCAGTTGCGCCAGTAGATCCCCGCGCTGTAGCCTAACAGCGTGAGTGTGATCGTGTTGAGCTGCGTCGCCCCCTCATAGTCGGCGAACAGCGCAGAGTACACCATCACACGGAGGGACTCCCCAACGGCAGTGAGCAGCAAAATCCATTGGTTGAGCGGCTCGTACACCACAAGGAGNTTCGGCAGCGCCAAATAGATGAGCAGCAAGGCGAACAGTAGCGCACCCTGCGCGCTGTCAGCGGCTTCATCAAACCACATCATGGTTGCCACTGAGAGCGGCTCCTGCAGCACGCACAGTCGGAACAGACACACAAGATCCAGCGCTAGGACAAGTGCGATTGAGTACACCTGAATAAACCACATGGCCCCAATGCGGTCTGCCTACAACAGCATCCATCATTAAAGAGACAGAGAGATGCATGAATATGTGCATAGAGAAAAATGGAGGCAGGAGTGAAGGAAAACGGTGTACCGGTGTTCCGTCTACAACATGTATGATGATGATGATGATCAACGGAGATGTTAGATGTTTACACAGCACCCTTACTCCATCTCACTTCTCACTCTCTCGCTGCACATACCCACTCATAGAGAGAGGGAGGGAAAGAAGGGGGAAGAAGTGCTCATTTGCTTTTCTTCTCCCTCGTGACGTCGCTGAACTGTCTGCATGCGACCACCATGTACGCATGGAAGCCAAACACGCCACAATTTACCACCATGAATGCCACAAGGATGTAACAGAGAGGAGGGATGGGGCCTTGCCTCAGCCACAGGAGTGACACAAATAGCGGCAGCTCCAGTGCGTGCACCAGTGCGTTGTGGATCTGCAGCAGACGATGCCTCGGCAAGTAGGCCGCCAGAAACCGCGACGTTGCCAGCAGCGCGAGCACGGCCAAGTACATGTACGCATACGACGTCCTCTCAAACGGCGCCACGCGGTCAAACCACGGCGTCGCCTTGCCGAGGGGATCACCGCGCAGCAGCAGCAGCAGCATGGTGGGCACCTCGAACACTCCGAGTCCGGCGGCGTACAGCGCGAAGGCGTGAGACATTCTCTCTCCGCGCCACTCCACACCGGCCCTTCTGGAGCCCTATATCCCGCACCAGGCAGAGATATCAATCAATACTAGCAGGACAAAAAACAGAAGAAGAAAAAACAAATGCACCATCGAGAGCAAAAAGGACGGGGTATAATAGACACAGACACACATAACAAGACACCACCGAGAGGCTCACAGAAACTGCGGCTATTGCCGTATGTGTCTGAGTGTGATTCCACGGATCTCGTTAGTGACTTACTCTCCGCTGTCAAGCGCTGTCATCGCCGTCACCATCTTCATCATCATCATCGTCATCATCATCATCATCGTCATCATCATCATCATCATCATCATCATCATCATCTTCCTCATCGTTGCTGCTTGTCTCTTCGTCCTCCTCCTCTTCATCATCAGCATCTTCGCCCTCCGCGCCATCGCTGCTGTCGTCGCCGTTGCGCTTGTCTACACCTTTCTCAACGCGCTTGTACTTTGCCAGGAGCTCCTCCAGCGGCACCTCCTTCTCCGCCTCGAGTTGCTCCAGCAATTCGCCCAGGTTCTCCTCGTTGCGCTTCTCTGCCTTGCGCAGCGTCGACTCGTTGTCCTTGAAGGCGCGCGATGGGATGTACGCGTCATCGGCGTCGACGGTCATCCCCGAGTGCCGCGCGAGGTCGAGGTAAGTCTTGCGGAACGATAACGCCTGGCGATGCCACTCGCTGCTTTTCGCGTTGTACTCGAGCGCGTTGGCGATCATCAGCGCCACGGCGTTCTGGACGTCAGCGTCGGCGGTGTACGTGCCGTCCTCGACGCGCTGGCGGATGGTCGACAGGTCGATAGGGCTCTTCACCACCGCGTGGTAATCGGGTAGCTCGCTGGCGCTGACTGGATGGTGGAACATGCCAAGCTCATCAAGGTCCCACAGCCGCCGCACAAATGCAAGGCAGCGCGTCTTGTCGAACGTTCCCTCGCGTTCGCGCTTGCCCATGTCTCGCGTACACTTATTTATCTAGCCCCCACGTGTTGGGTAATATCACGCCTTTGTTTGCTTGTGATGTGCCTCCCCTATATATACCTGCGTATAATGTATACCTCTTCTTCACACACACACACACTATATATATATATATATATATATTGGACGGTACAAGGCACAGGGCGAATAGTAGAAAGAGAACAACTCCGCACCGCTTTTCGCGTGTGAAAGAGAATGCGCACACCAAGCAGCAGATATACGCTGGCAAATCTCCACGCAACCAACTCCGCGGCACGTCAGAGGCAGCAGGAGCAGCAGCAAAGAACCCTCCCTCCTTTTCTTTGAGGGAGATCTCCTCTTCCTTTCGCCTCACCGCCACTTTTCACCGCCAATTTTCTCCCCATTCCCCCGTGTAAGCGACCAGTACTTTCCCTTCATTGTCAAATCGCGGTAGTCGTGCAATTTGCCACGAGCAGCAGCCTGCTGGTAGCCGTCAAAGTCCTCGCCAAGTCCGCTGAAACCGCAGTCTGCAAGCTGCTGGTCCACCAGCGAGAGATCGCCCTCCCTCTCGTCCATGCCCTCAGGAGTAGTAAACACACCCATGTTCTTTGCACGGAATGTCTTCTCTAACGCAAACGTCTCAGTGCGCTGCTGGGCGCGTCGCATCTCCTCCTGTCGCTGCTTCTTGCGAAAAACCTCCTCGCACATAAGTTTCAGTGCGTCCATCAGGCCAGCCTGAGGATGCGCCGTGCCCAGCGCAATGCCGAGCGCTGCGGAGATTGGAAACACCGGTAGCTTCACACGCCTCCGCAACTCCTCCAGTTTGTCCGTCAGCAGTGCACCACTGCTGTCGGTGTGGAGATCCATCTTGTTGGCGAACACCATCAGCGCCCTACTGCTGAGGCCGGGCAGGTAATACTCAAGCTCGCGCTGCAGCGCTTCCACCACCTCCCACGGCTCCGACGGTGCTGTTGCGTCCGGAGGGGTGTAGGAGCCAGCCATATCCACAACGTACGCCAGCGACTGCGTGCGCTCGACATGGCGCAGGAACCGGTGGCCGAGCCCGCGGTTCTCATACGCGCCCTCAATGAGCCCAGGCAAGTCCGCCACACGGCACGTGTGGCCGTACATGTTGTGAATCACGCCAACATACGGCCGAAGCGTGGTGAATACGTACGGTGCAATCATCGGCTTGCTCGAGCTGATGGCAGAGAGGAGAGAAGACTTTCCCGCATTCGGATACCCAATAAGCCCGACGTCCGCAATCGTCTTGAGCTCGAACTGAACCAGCATGGTGTTCCCCGGCAGACCGCGCGTGGATTCCGTTGGGGAATGATGCCACTTGTTTGCAAAGGCCGCGTTTCCCTTTCCACCTTGCCCACCCTCGAGCAGCAGCAGCTCCACGCCGTCCTCATCCACGTCGTACACCACCTCGTTTGTGTCGACGTCCACCACCTCTGTGCCGACGGGGAGTTCCAGCAGCAAATCTTTCCCCTTCCTGCCGTGTGAGTTGCGGGCGAAGCCAACGCTACCGGGCGCCGCACTGATCTGGCTCCCCATCGCCTTGATATGCGAGAGGTCGGCGAACCTTCTGCTGCAGCGCAGCATCACCCCACCGCCGTTGCCGCCATTGCCACCAGCAGGCCCCGCAAACTCGTTTCCGTGCTCGTGTGCCATCACACTTGCCCCATCGCCACCGGCACCGCTAGAGACGAGCACCTTGACGGCGTCCACGAACGCGTGGCTCCGCCTGTTGAGGCTGCCCGTACAGCCCCGAAGCATATGGAGCTAGACTATGCAAAAAGTGTAAGGGGAAGAAAAGGATCAACAAGATGGATTTATATATATATATTTTTTTTTTTGGAGGTGAAGGGTTAAAATAATAAACAAGAAAAAAAAGGCCTGCAGCAAAGCAAGAGTCATATGTCTCACGAGAGAGAAAGAAATCAGCATGCATCACACCATGGTTGGGGCTGTGAATACATGGATTATAGGAACTTTATACGCTTCATTCCTTTTAAACTGTTTCTGCAGCGACGGGCGAAACAAAAAAAACAATGGCGACGAAAAAGGACTAGGGGCCTACAAGTACAGAGAGGACGCAAACACAATATCCCTCTTGATCATCTGAATGCCTTGGAGGAACTTATCATGCAACTCCATGCTGCCAATGGCGGGCGAACGCGCGGCGCCTGCCAGCTGTCGCAGTTGCTCTTCGAGGCGCCGCATCATTCGAACAATGTCCCCTTCGTACGCATCTGTCTTGCTCATGATGTCCACAAACTTGGCGCCCTTTGCCCACATGTATGTAACTTCCATCAAAGAAGGCATCGCCTTTTCAACACTCACGCCCTCCTGCACGATGCCACTTTCGATGCTCACCGTAGAGATGCGGCTCACAACCTCATTCAGTTCCTTCAGGGGCTGCTGGAACTCCTCTGGTAGCGTGAAACCGTCAGGTGTGCGGTGCACATTCACCAAGCACGACATGAGTGCAACAATCATTTCCGTCTCCATTGAATTTAGAATACCCTTGAACAACAGCTCTGTAAGAAGAATTTCATTCTCGTCTGTAGTAGTGATCTCACACGCCACACGGGCCTTGCGTAGAATGATGTTGTCCTTGTCGATGTAATCCAGCCGACGCAGCACACGCATCATCTGTTTCAGCTCCTCAGAGAAGATGGCCCGTGACACCTGGTTAAGTTCGTCTTGAATGCCCTGCAACTCCTTCTCCAGCGCCGCCCGCTGTTTAAAAGACTCAAAGGCAGCCTGCAGCTCAGGCGTGGGGTTTCGCACGTACTCATTCTCCTTTAACTGGGCCTCTAACCGCTCCACCTGAACGCGCAGCTTCGCAAACTGCGGATCATTCACACCCATCTCTTCACTCGTCAGGGGTGCGACATCATCGCCGTACTGACGATAAAGTTTCGCGAGTGTTTGCACAATTTGTGCTCGTCCAGTTTCAGAGTCGGGCTCCGCTGGTAGATTCACGCGAAATCGCGCGATGCCATCGATGTCTGTGAAGTCAAATGTCACAGTGTACAGGTCTGCAGAACTTGTGGTGTAGTCCTTGACATGGCACGGCACCAAGGAGGTGGGGTGCGCCGTGTCGGCCTTGCGGCAGATGACGGAGACGTCTACCGTAAAGGCAGCGGAGTCCTTCGCGTTGGCGTCCGGCGTCTTGGCGCTAAATGCGCGGCAGATGCCCCAGTTGAACAGCACGCCATCCACCGCGCGGCGGATGCGGATGAGGCGGCCGGAGTGTGTGAATTTTTTTACAAACACCGGCTGCTTCACAATGTCGCCTATCTCCTTCCGCATATTCGCAAGGAGATCCTCGCAGAGGGCGTACTGGCGCAGCACCTCCTCGTGCTCAACGTGTATGGTCGCGATCTCCTTTGTTAGCGCATCCGCGCGTCGCTCGAGTGCCGGGCGGTTGCGAAGCCGTTGGAACTGCGCAAAGCTGCGCCGCATCATGAACTCCGGGTCGACGTCCTCAACGCGAAGCAAGTTTAGTACCATATTGTAGGTCAGGTGGAAGCTGCTGTTGAGCACATCTGCACCACCGCCGGTGAGCTTCTTGAGCGTCTCTGGTTCCACTGCTTCGTCCACCATTGCGATGACGACGCCCACACGATCGAGTCCACGACGTCCGGCGCGGCCTGACATCTGAATATACTCGCCGCCTGTCAGGTAGCGATTCGCCTCGCCGTCAAACTTCTTGACCGAGGTGAACACAACTGTGCGAGCAGGCATGTTGAGTCCCATTGAAAAAGTCTCGGTCGAGAAAAGCACCTTCACAAGGCCAGCTTGGAAGAGAATCTCCACCACCTCCTTCAGAATCGGCAGCAGTCCGGAGTGGTGAATGCCAACACCGCGCTTCAGCAGTGGCAGCAGGTGCTCAATCGCCGGTAATTTCCTGTCATCTTCCGCAAGGCACTCCATCGCGTTGTTGAACACCTCCGTGACCAGCGCGTCTTCTTCGGTACTGTTGAAATTTAGCCTGGAGAGGGCCAGTGCATTCCTCTCGCACTCTGCCTTGGCGAAGGAAAAGACAATTATTGGGTACATGTTGCGGTTCATAGCCAACTTGATGATCTCCATGATGGGCTGTGTTCCTTTCCTCGATGTCTTTTGCTTCCCGCGTGTGAGGCCGCCAGCCTTTGTGGCCTCACCACCACCAGCGCCGCCCGCTGCGCCATCCACAGCCCCCATGGACGACATGGCCCGCCTGAAGTTGTCTTCGCGGAACTTGCTCTGCTCATCCACAATAAGGAAGATACCATCGGCGCCGCACGGGTACAAGTAGTGCTGCAGTGGCACTGGACGGTAGTCAGTGTGGATGACATGCACCTTTGTGCCGGGGTGGATGCTTTCCACCCAATCTGCGAACTCCCGCGCATTGGGGATCGTCGCGGAGAGAAAGACGTACTGGCAACCCTCTGGCAACAGACTGATTGTCTCCTCCCACACCACACCACGCGACTTATCGCGCATGTAGTGCACCTCGTCAAAGATGACGCAGCCCACCTCACGGAGCATCTCCGTCCCTCTGTACAGCATACTGCGCAGAATTTCTGTTGTCATGACGAGGCAGTCCGAGTCTGACTTGATGGTTGTGTCACCTGTCATGAGGCCGACGGAGTCAAACTTTTCAGAGAACTCGCGGAACTTCTGATTGCTGAGTGCCTTGATGGGGGATGTGTAGATGACACGCTTCTTCTCCTGCAGTGCCTTGGCAATAGCGTAAAGCGCCACCGTTGTTTTACCAGCGGAAGTGTGGGCGGAGACGAGAACGCTGTCGCCGTCCTCCAGTGCGTCGATGCTCGCCTTCTGGAAGGTGTCCAGTTCGTACGGGAACGTCATGGCAGGCGCCGTCTCGCGTCTCGGCCGCTTCATTACCGGTTCCTCATCGCCGGACATTTCTTTTTCCGCTTGCTGCTGTGCACTTTCCGCGGAACCATGCGGAGGTTGAAAAAAAAAGGGGAGGAGGAGAAAATAAGAGATGATGGAAAGGGAAGAAAAACAAAGAGGACTCTACGCACACGACAAGCAGAAGATGTTTATGCAAGCCAAAGCAGAGGAACAAACACGCACACACACACACGTAGAGAGAAAGAGATACATAACGTGGCAGACATGTACTCTCACCGCGAAGGAGTTGTCGTTACTCGATGTTACCCAGGTTAACTTGCAGCTTTAGAATTGCTGCTGCGTGCTCCTCCAGCGGGCCTCGTAGTGCCGCGGCAAAAACGCCTTGTGTGGACTTCTGCGCCGTCGTTACGAGTCTAGTGATCACCTCTGCCGCAACACGACTATTCGACTCCATCCACACAATACTGCTCGGATCGTGCCCCTTCACCGCTATGCATACCACCGGGCACTGGGAGCGAACCTCCTCCGTTGTGAGGTCAACGACCTCGGCGTCGTCAATCAATCCCACTGTTTGAGCGTACACCACATCCCGCATGGCAACACTCGCGTCGGCGAGAGCCAGACACGCAGCGTTGATACAGGCCGCCTTATCACTGCCATCCTGCCGAAGCACCTCAATGCAAATGTGGATCTGCGAGTTTGGGTACTGTGAAAGCAGCACAATGGAGCGGACGACCTCCAGCACAGACGCACTGATCTCATCCGAAAGCTTCGACTTCCTGTTCGGGTCGCGCCGCTTCTCACTAGCGAATGCGGCAATGGCAACTTCACATGTGACGACCGCCTCGTTGTACTTCCCCTCTGTCCTCTGCACCACCTCGCGCGGACCGTAGACTGTGGCACACACATTCGACAGACCCGTTGTCACCGTACAGCACCCATCGCACCCCACCACTTTGCCGAATTCCAAAGCTATCCGCCTCGATTCATGCGGCCGGCGACCGTCAAGCCGCAGCCCTGCGGGATTGATGTATTCCTTGTTTGCAGACATGCCCCCACGCCACACCTTCTCCCTGGCCTACAGGAATAGCAACGACACACGTACGCAGAGAGATAGAGAGGGGGGGGAGGGAAGAGTGAGATATATAGGTATATAAGCAAACAGGAAGCATATACATATATATATATATATATATATATATATATAAAGTCCACGCCAAGAAAAAAAGCAGCAAGAGCAAGCAGCCAGACACGGCAAGAAAGACGCACGGATGCACGCCACGAAAAGACACTCGGAAACGTCGGTGGCGCAAGCTTATCCCTCGCTGCTCGCAAAGAGTCCTCCGCAAGTGGTACTGCAGAAGTAAGAGTGTAACATTGAAAGGACGAAAAAAGCCACCGATGGACGGGGGAGCCTCTTTCTCTGCTACAGTCGCCACTCGTATTGACCAGCCTTTGTCGCGTAGCGAATCCACTTGGACGGCGTGTAGCGTAGCTCCGGCTCTTCCACTCGGAGCTCCTTCACGTGGAAACCACTAAGCGCTCGAGAGGGCGTCGAAAAACTAATCTTGATGGGAGGTCGCGACCACATCTGGTCGGACTGGGCGAGAGTCGAAGCAAGCAGCACAATCTCCGCGCTGAGCAGCATCTCCGCGTCCTTCTGCGTGACAGTCGGCAGCTTCCAGATAATGGCGTGCTTTACGCCGTCAAACCGCGCACTACCCCTTTCGACATTCACCCTCACATCCGCCGTGTTTGCGGGGCATGGAACCCGCACTTCCACCTCGGTGCAGCACATCCCGTCGGGCATCTCGCACTTCAACCCGAATTCCATCTCTGTGCGGGTCTTCGACACCTCCTTTACACGGGCGTGCAGCACCTTCAGCGGGGGTGGCGAGTGCATGGCAGTGCGGTACCACATCAGCACAAAGACGCCGTCCACCGGCACAAAGTTGATTCCCCGCCCCGGAGTGACCTGCACGCACGGGTGGTAGAAGGCGTCCTCAGGGGCAAAGTTGTCGTGCAGCACGAGTTGGCACTCGGGCATACCGGATAGGAAGTTTTTTACCACCATGCGTCCTACCGCGCTGTTCTCCAGCACCTGCCCTGTCTGCGTCACCAGTACGTGCAACTCCTCGAAAACATCCACAAACAAGTCGTTGGCACGATACCACAGGCCCTTTTCCCGCCATGGCATCTTTTTCGTCATTCGGGCCGTTACCCGTTGGGATTCTTGTGGTTTCTTCATTAGTGTAATATCGATGCCCTTGGCGTTAAGGAAGGATTTTAGAAGCACCACTTCTGTGGTCTGGGGGTACCCAAAGTCCATTGTTTCGTCAATCAGCTGCTGTAATGCAACGAAATTGTCCTTGAGCGTATCTTCTTCAACGTTCTCAAAGTAGACATTGCAGATGTCGAGAAGTTGCAATGCGTACTGCAGGCATGTGAAGCAGTTTACGTTCCCGTTGGACACAAGAACAAGGTACATGTCGTGGAATCGCACATGCACGTAGCAGACACCATCCACAATGTTGATAGGACTACGGTCAACCACTTTGGTGGATATAAGTTGGTTGCGGAAGCCCTCCGCGAGTCCTCGAACACTGTACCCATCTCGAAACGTGCGGGAGAGAACGACATCTCCCCTGGAGTTCAGAAACATGAGAACGCCTATCATTACACCTGAAATGATGAAGAAAGAATAAAAGAAAGAGGCATCCTTTTTTCATACCCGATGCAGAAACAGCACCACCAACCGCAAGCTGCAACAACAAGATGGGCACTCTTACGTCAATTATAGCAAGATACAACAATAGCATTGTCAACTACATTCAGGCTTTATTCAGCTTTCCTTCTCATCCGAAGCACAGGTACCCGCTATATTTCGCTTATACTCTTCCTTCATCTCACGCCGCCGTTTTCTTCTCTCCAGTGCCTTACGGTCCCGCACCTCGTCGTACACCGAGACTCGGAGATACCTATCTTTCTCCACCTTGAAGTCATTCAACGCCTCAAGGGCCGCAGATGCAGCCTCACACAACTCGTAAACAACAATAGCGCACCCCTTTGTGGTTCCATCGCTTCCGATACGCAGCTGCTGAATCGCACCGTAGCTTCCAAACACCTTGTAGAGCTCCTCGCCACGACACAGCTTCGTAGGAATCCCCGTAACTAGAAGAATGCGCTCATCTGACATTTGTGCTCTCTATAAATGGGTATATATATATATATATATTACCGCAACAAGAAGCCAAAGAGCAGAGAGCAAAGAGGGTGAAAGAAAATAGGCAAAGAGCCGAAAAATAAAGTGGAGCACGAACAATATAAATTTTTTGATTCCAACAAAAAAGGGCATCAGAAACAGGTTGCACCTACGAAAAAAAAGTTTCAGCCTGTTTCCTTTTTTTTTGCGCTTCGCTTCATGTGCGCTAGTCCCACGAAAATGGAAGGGCTTCAGAAAAAAAGCACCGAATACAGCGAACTGAGGGTACTGAAGGTAGTGACAGCACCCTCCAGTGGGTACCCTCCTACATACACGACATGAGCAATAAAACTCTTCAGGCGAACAGCCTGTGCCTTGTCGTGTGTTACCAGAAGCGCTGGTTTTATTTGCCGACAGAAAGCATCGTACCCTTTGGCAGTTTCGCAGAAGAGAACCTTGTGTCGAGATATTTTCATCGATCTGAGCATTCTAATAATTTCATTCTTTTCCTCTTGGCTTTCTATGCGACACATGAGGTAAACATCCATGTTGAAGGCACATTGGTCGAGGAATTTTTTTCCACAGTATTCAAATCCCGCGCCCTCGTTAAGTACCTCCCATGTAAGACACACTTTGGAGTCCTTAAACTGGTGTTGGTTCAACCTGGTGATAAATAAAGGGTCACCCGTCTTGGTGTTGGAAAGTATTTGTTTGCGCCGCTCGTCCGGTGGGGTATCTTTCTTTTTAAAGAGCATATAAATTGAAAATCCTCCAATGACAGCAGTCATGATCAACCATGCATTGTCGCCAAACATTGTATCCCAAAGAATTTTGAAGAGCGGCCTTCGGGGCATGCGTAGACCTACCCTAGAAATGGTTAGTGTAAAGAGACAATAAAACAAAAAGAATAAAAAGATACATTTACACACATATATATATATATATATATATTTAATGCATCTTTGAATAGCACTAAGGAAAACAAATATCTGATTAATTTCTTTTCTTTTTTTTCCCTCTTTAAAAGAGGTGCACTAAGGCCTAATATGACGCAATAGTCCATATTAGCTCTCATATATGTATGTTTCAGGACGATTTCCTCGAGCTATGAGTCCCTTTCCCATGAGGGCCTCCAAACTCTGTTTAATATCGGCCATCGCAGGCACGTACCCCGTCCGTTGGAGAGACCCTGTGACGCGAGCACACAATTCAGCGTGGTTCATCGTTTTTTTGGTCTTCATAATATGCACCAAAACCGCTTCAATGTTCACTGAATGTGACGTCTCCAGTGACTCACGATGAGCTCGAGGCTCCATGCTATCGTCAAAACTTTTAGTTGTGTTTGCTGTTCGCAGGCGAAGTTTGGTTTTTGGATGAGTGAAATCGTGATTAAACATGTACTGTGAAACCCCGCTGCTATCCTCAGCGGTGATCAATCCCATCTGAGAAAGAGATTCCAAGTGACTCAGGGCATCATTTTCTAGTAGTTCCGTTGTCTGGCATATCTCCTGCAGTGTCAAACGTTGATCATCAGTAAGGTCTTGAAAACAAAGAATTGTGCTCGCAAAAGCTGTTGGTGCAACAATTTCATATGTTTTCCCATGATTCAATTCAAAATGAACTGTACCAAGGTTTGTATTAAAGCAAAGTTTTCGGCCATTATGACGGCGAAGGTAGTAAGACTTGAACAAATGCATACATCGCTGCATACTCTCTGGAAGACTGACCATTACGTTACTGTATTGTGGCCAAACACCAGCAGTTATGACAAAAGCATTAAAACTCCATGAAAAATTTGCCTCTGTTGAAAGAGAACGAAAAAACAGTCGGTTGATCTCTGTCCTCATTCTTCCATCTTTGATCATAGTCTCGAGATGATTAACGACCGAGTCTCCACATTCATTTCGAAGGTACTCGATCAGATAAGTTTCGTGAGAGAGAGACTCTTCAGGCTTAGAGTAAATCAGCCTTCCTGCAAGTAATACTTTTAACACGTGTTCAAAAGTATCTTTTGATCGAATAAGGCGAAATAGACTAAAGGTGTCAAACGCAATTTGTTTGAGTGCTTCATCCGGTGGTCGCAACCTAATTTTTGCGTCGTAGTAGTACGCAAGTTTCTCAGCGAAACCAGGATTATCATTGACAATCTCCCTAAGAGCTCGAGAAACAGGTGATCGGTCATCAGTCCCAACACCAGGTAATGTTAAAACCAATTCTTCCAGTTTATACCGTAATTCCAGGACTTTTTCTACAGCCAAAACAGGAGGCACATGGTCAGTAAAGCCTAAAATTTCAGATCCCATTCTCTTTGCAGTGGCAACTATCATATCAAAAAAGGCCTCTGATTCATTGACCCTCTCTAAAGCCTCTCCTAGAGACCTTAAAGACTTTTTATCCATGTTTCTAACCATGGACGCGCCACCAACAGAATCAGTGTAAAGAAGTTTCTCTGTGTTTTCTTTTATTAGCAATAATCCAAGAATATGCTCGACTCGTTGGCCAGTATCTCGCCCCACTAATTCAGAGACATCGGATCGTACCTCCTCAATTGTACCTGACGTCCACATGAGATACTGGACCGTATCCAGCCTCTTCAGTTCTACTTCCATTTTCTTTCTGTAGCAATCTGTTAACAGACCAATAAGCGGATCCTCCATAAGTGGTTCATAAAGTGTATCCTTGTATAATTCGCGCAGCCTCGCACTCAGCTCTTTGAGTGCATTCCTCGAATCCATATCAGCGGTAAGAATTTTCCCAACGCATTTAGCAAACGCATTCGAAAGGTCATTATTCTTCAGTACTGCCATACAAAAAAGATTATCACCCATCTGGGGAATCGTCTGTCTACGACTCGTATAGTTGTTATTGAGATACAATAAGGCCTCACTGATACGACTAACTGCAAGCCTAAAATCTTCCCATTCCGTGTTGAGGTCACACAAAAAGGTTTGTTCTGGTGCTCTCAGCAGACGATCTCTAATATTCGTCACCTGAGTCGAAAGAACTTCTTCCACGCGTTCAAACAGAACGCTGCTATGTTGTCCCTGACACATTTGAAAAACGGAATGATGAACTCGTTGAAAGGAATACCGAGACATTGTCTTTTTGAGTATGGCGTCTATCGCATCATAAATCACTTCCAATTTTTCAGCAGCAGATGCATCCAAAGGTCGCTTTCGAAGATTTGTGGTCATCCTTTCTACTTTTTTTTATTTTTTTTTTTCTTTCTACTCTTAGTTGGCGTTATTCCCAGCAGCAAGCAAAAACAAATAAATAAATACAAAAAATAAACAATAAGGAGCAAGAAAGCCAAAAAAAGAAAAAGAAAAGGAGCCACAGAGTGAATTATACCTGAACAAGTACGTAGGAAAAAAAATATGTTTACAACTTAGGATCGCTCTCTCTCTCTCATGCTGACGGCCATTTCAAAGCTTGATTTAACCTTTTTTCGTTCTTGATTTAGCATTCCTTTTTTGTCCTTAACTCTTTCCTATACGAAAAGAGACTTGTCAATTAGTTCAGATCGATTATTGCTGAGTTGCCTTTTTCACCGACCGATATACTCCCACCACAACAGCGTGATCCCTTTCAAATGGCTCCAGTGACGCTTGTTCTAAGGGCTTTAGGCGATCCTTCTTCAGTTTTTCGAGTTCAGACGCAATCACCACAGGAGCTTCCAGTGTAGAATCAATGCAGTTGGCCTTGATGGAGATAACGTAGTGACCACCATTTTTCAAAAATGCTTGAGCATTGAGTGCAAGAATACGTGCCTGATCCGGTTGGGCAACATCCATGAAAACACAATCAACCATAGGTACAAGCATACGGTACTTCATAGGATAACGAGCATCTTCAATAATTGGAACAATATTGGGCCTCCTTTTTGACATTTCAACAAGATCACGGCCACTGCGGTTAGAAAATTCTATCGCATAAACCATACCTTCAGGTCCAACAAGATCACTCACGTGGCTTACAGTTGTACCACTTGCCCCTCCCAAGTATAGAACTTTTGATCCTGGTTTCATGTGAATACTTCCCACACCAGCATAGATTGCAGCAGCAAGCTTAGAGCGGTAGGGATTCCAAAGACGATACTCCTTCTTTTCATCTCCACCTTGTGCCGCTGCTAGTTCGATCCGTTTCTCTCCATATACTGACACACCAGGAACCATATTCAGTGTGCAAAGTGAGTCTGCCTTCCCCTTGGAAATAAACACTCCAGGGTGAAGCATGTGCGGCTCCACAATGACCTTGGCGCCCATGCCTCCTCCTCGTCCTCCGCGGCCTCCTCGACCTCCACGTCCACCTGCACCCCTGCCACCTCCTCGAGCCGGTCCACCACGGCCTCGTCCAAATCCACCACCACTGCCACCACCACCTCGGAATCCACCGCGGCCACCGCCTCCTCGTCCGAAACCACCACGCATCTTACTATTCTATAATTAAAGATCAAGAAAAAAAAACAAATACAGATTTAACAAGCACTCAGGAGATGCATTTTAAACAAAAAATAAACCGAAAAAAAACCGTAAAGAAAAAGACGGGCCAATGAATTTCAAGAGGCAAAAGCATAATCCTACTTACATTAGCCATGACAAGAATATAATTAAATAGGATTGCAAGAAAGAAAAAAAAACAATCTCTAGCATCACAGGGGGAAAGAGATCTTACCTGGATCTTATTGAGACGCGCAAAAACAAAAAACCAAAAAATTATTTTCTATTGGCAAGCGTGCTCTTTTTTTTTTTTGTCTTCGGAACAATAGTAAATGATTTATTACTTCATTAAAAGGATGAATGTGAGCTGCTTCTTTGTCTCCCTGAGAAGGAAGGTAATTCACAAAATGGGAAAAAGGGGGAAACAAATGCTCTCTATATAGCTATAACAGCAGTCAAGTAATAAATAACAACAACAAACAAATGAAAAAGGGAAAAGAGAACATCAAGGCGGCTAAAGAAAAACAACATGGCAAAACAGTCTGTTTGTTTTCCTTCTCTTTTTTCCCCCACCACCAAGAATATATGTACCAATGGAGTGGAAATGATGTCCTAATAGAGATGGCGAAAGATAAACATTATGTTCAACGCAATTTTTTTACTTTTTTTTGTTGATTTTTGGTGCCTTACAATCTTATAGATATGGAAATACAATAGGACGCAAAACAACTTTTTTCTTCTCCAACAGAAGAGACATTTTGTCGAAGAAACACCTGTAGACCGATCCAATACACGGGTCACCAAATAAAACACTCTTCCTGGAACAAATATTTTGCAACCAAGCCGCCTAGCACCAAAGAACCGAAAACAAAAAAAAACCACACCACCCCGACACCGCAAGCACACGCCCCCCAACAGCAAACAACGACCCCACCCACGGGACCCCGCCCAACTTAAAAAAAAAAAGTTGTTCCCCTCTGCTTCCCTCGCCCCCCCACCCCCTCCAGCGATTTCCCGCCGGCCCCGGGGCGCCAGCGCCCCCCGAACCGACCGCGGTGGCCGAGGGGGCACGGAACCGCGACAAAAAAAAAATGGAGATGGGGGCGGAGCCGGCGAGCCCGTGGTTGTTTTTGTTTTCGCCGTTGGCGCCCATAAACCAACCATCAAATTACAAAGAAAAAAAAGGCCCTTTTGGCAGTAAAAAAAAAAAAAATTGCCAGCTAGCTGGGATAACTGGACCTGTACAAAAAGGATGCGCAGTCCGGGAATCGAACCCGGGCCTCCCGCGTGGCAGGCGAGAATTCTACCACTAGACCAACTGCGCCTGAAACCAGCAGGTTTCAGGTTGGTGGTTTACCACACTTCATAATGGTCAAGGTTTTTTCTCTTCTAGTATTCTGTTTACTAAATATTGGTTGAGACCCTACTGTGGCTGCTTAGCTCAATGGCAGAGCGCCGTCCTAGTAAGACGGAGGTCGGGGGTTCGATCCCCCCAGTGGCCTCTTTTTCTCACGTACTAAAAATCCCTTCGTGGTTTTTGGGGTGTTTTTTATTATTGATTTTTTCCAGGACAGACGCCAAAAAAAAAAATCACCCACACCCTGGTTCAGCAGCGCGGGTTATTTTGAGGGTTTCGGCAGGAGAAACCCAGAGAGAAGCTTTTCTCAGAGACAGAAACGGTTTGATGAAGTTACCACCATTCTTGCCCCAACCCGCGTACTATTTATATGTGGGGTTTTTGGGGGGGCCGCATTTCAACGCGCGCGCGATCCCAGACAACATGGTGAAAAAAAAAAAGAGGCCCATAATAAAAACATTCTGCGAGTTTGAAGCATACTAAAAGCAGCTTGGCGCAATGCGGAAGGAGGTTGGTTTTTCTTTTTTGAGCCCTGGAGCGAAGCCATCGACAACCCAGAAAAGGCGCCACCATTGATACAATGAAGGCGAGGAAATGAAACAAAGGGCCGCCAGTCCACAAGGCACAATGAGGCACACCCCTTTTTCCAGGGCCAAAGCATTTTTGCGAGGCACACGCCGTACGTGAGCGGCCTCGCGTGAATAAGGGGAGAATTTACCCCCACAGCACCTCGGTGATGCCGGCAAGCTCGTCGAGGCACCAACGCCCACCACGCCCCGTATTTTCGGGGAACTTTACGGCGGCAGGCTTGCGGCATCGCACGGCGCCAGAGCCACGCGCGCCATCGGCAGCCCCCAAAATCGCTGCCAAGCACCGCTCCCCAAAAGAGCCGCCAAGCGCAGCAGAACCCCCACCCAAGCCATGCGTTATGATATGCCTGAAGGTTGCTTGCCATTCTTGGGGAATGGCAACCCACATGAAACGCAAGCACTCCAACGGAAAGAATAATAGGACGGGGGAGCCAAACAAAGACACACCAAAAAACCTTGGCGAGAGAGAGGGAGAGAAAGAGAGAAGAACCCCCTGCCTTGCAAACCGCTGCCCTGAAGCAGGAAAAGGATGAAGCAGAATTGCCCCACCTTAAAAAGCGTACGGGAACAGAGGCATCCTTTCCGACCGACGACCGGCTAAAGAACGAGGGGGGCACAATGCTTGGTGTGTTTGAAATGTTTTGCCGCTATTGGTTCAGTTGGAACGCACTGCCGCCGCTCTGATGAGGACCACGGGGTTCCTGTAACGGTGAAACGCCGGAGGCTCCATGAGGATGCTCCTGATGAGCTGTCTCTTTCTGCCTTCTCGTGCCCCACGTGCGGATTCCAGTGCCACAGCAAACATGGACTCACGAGGCACCGCAT